CTGGGGATCTAGATTTTTAAATGTTCCTTAGGCAATTCTGACACATAGGCGACAGCTGAGAACGCTTAATTAAAAACCCACATATCATAGTCAATTATTACATACCTCTGAGCATCCTACTAATACCTCAAATTCCTTCTAATTGATCTTATCTCTAAAACCCTCTTATATGTTTCCTTTCCTCACTTCCTTGATTAGGTTCTCACCTGAACTTCTGCTATAACATCCTAACTGAACTGTGTGCCCTCATCCTCCACACAACTGCCACAATGATCGTTCTAAAAAGTAAATCTGATTAAAAAGTTAGAGGCTACTTATGGCTTAGAGGGGGCCCTGGTGGTGCAGTGGTTAAGAGTTCGGCTGCTAACCAAATGGTTGGCAGTTCAAACCTGCCAGCTGCTCCTTAGAAACCCTATGAGGCAGTTCTGCTCTGTCCTATAGGGTTGCTGTGAGTCGGAATCGACTTGATGTCAATGGGTTTGGTTTTTGTGGCTTAGAGGAAAAGGTTCAGCCTCTTGGCCAACATTTAAGGCTCTTCACAATTTGGAGTTCTAGCCTCCTCTTTCAGCGTAACTGACCACCACTCATGCAGCACATCAACCATACTAGACCACTTCCAGGTTCCCAACATGCCAAGCCCTACAATACTCCCATGTCATCCCTTCCGCCTGTACTGCTTTCTCCACCATGTCTACCTAACATAACCATTTCATTCTTCAATAACTGTTTCAAATATGACTATCTCCAGAAGCTTCACTGGCAGCTCCTCCCCTCCACCCCAGAAACAGTCAATGCTGCTGCTCTGTGTTTCCATATCTTTTTAGATACACTTGTCACACTGTATCATAATTTGTGATTATACATGCCAGCCCCTTCTCCAAACAATGGGTTCCTCAAAGATAGGGACCATATCTTGCCATCTTTGGATTCCTAGCTACCGTCTTGTATACAATAAATACTCAATAAACATCGACTGACTTCATAGCCTTAAAAAACCTATGAAGCACAGTTCTACTCTGCAACATATGGGGTTACCATAAGTCAGAACTGATTCCACAGCAACTGGCTACCAGTAACTTGATGTAAAAATTTTGATCTCTGTATTTGGTTGCATTTCATTCTGACAGGTACTTACCTAGCTTTTGGGGGCCACTTACCACCTTTTACATCCCCAGGTGGCACAAACGGTTTGTGCTCAACTAATAACCTAGAGGCTGGCGGCTGAACCCACCCAACAGCGCCATGGAAGAGGCCTGGCAATCTGCTTCTATAAAGATTACAACGAAGAAACAAAACCTATGGACCAGTTTTACTCTGTCACATGGGGTCACCATGAGTCGGAAGTGACTCGAGGGTAAGGGGTTACCACCTTTTGAACCCCCTTTCTATGTTTGATGAATTTCTCCTAGGATGAGTCCTGCCTACCCAAGGTAGAAACCCTTAAAGCACTTTCCCAGTTTCTCTTACAGCAAGGGTACAAATAGGTGACCTAGCCTCGGCCAATGGGCCTAGCTTATAGGAGAAATTGTTTTGGAAGAGAACAATAAGAGCAAGTAGGTGCCTCACAGAAGCCATTTTCTGTCAGAGGTAGCAGCAGAAGCTTCTGACTCCACAGTGGTGGAGGTTCTAGCATCCAGTGTCCCACGTTAGCAGTGCTGACTGTGATGGAGGAAGGGCTATGGGATCTTCCTGTTACAGCTGGAGTGGATATAGCGCCTAATAACAAGGTTTTTTTTACAATTAAAGTACAGGTATCTAATGTAATTGTTCATTAGACACATGCATTCCTGAAAATAAAAGGATTTAACCTGAAAAAAGTGTTGACTGAATGAATGAACAAAAAATGTATGAGTGACTCTACAGAATGATTGACTCCACTGAGTGTTAGCAAGACATTAAATTAGTGTTTTTAATCAATTGCAAACAAGGACATTTAAACACTTTATTTCCAATGAACAGCCCTGAGCAAAGGTAGCCAATCTGTGGACTAATGTTCCATCCTCACCATTCATGCCTATTTCTCTTCTCTTTGTATTTTTATACTCCCTCTTATTCTTACATTGCCTTTCTTCCTGGTCTTCCTTTATAACTCTTTGCCTTTTGTTTCAAGTAGCAGGCCTACTCCCTGCTACTTGAAACTAAAGCAGTCACTGACTTCATCCTAGGGACTGATGACATCTATTACTAGGGCTGGCTTATACACAGTGTAGGCTGCCAACTTCTTAGTCTGATGTCAGGGCACTGAGAAGTCCACTGCCCCAATATGTAACCCTCTCCCCACCTTAGAACTTGCTTCTTTTGGTTACAGCTAGCATCCTAAGGGGTAGTGAGAAATTCTAAATTTGTAGCCAGCAAGTCAGAGTGAGGGGGCACCTTGATTACTTCCAAGCTTGTAGCTGGTGTGTCTGAGGTTCTGGGCAGATTTGGCAGTCTGGAGGACTATGACCTGTAATTTGAGATCTAACCTAGCTCTCGTGGTTAGGGTCAGAGGAAAAAATGCTGTATGTGCAGCTGAACTGAGCAGATTTGGATTGGAACTGAATTCCTTCAATTGAGCTGGTGTCAGAGAAATAGAATAGATTGCATTGATTACAGATTAATTGATATCTTTACAGGATAAATCTGTGATGGATTAGAAATTTTTTTAAAAACCCAAACTGATCTATCATCACAAACATCTTGAAAAGCACTGGTCCAGCCAACATTGCTCAGGTGAAAATCAGTAACCAGAACTAGAACTGTGAGTATTTGAAATTTTCCCTTTGCCACTCTAGAAGGAACCTTGTTCTCTGCTCCTCTGCTCATCAAACTCCTCTTTGCTTCCTTGTGCTACAGGTACAAACAAAGGTGAGCTCAGAAAGAACACAGGTAGCTACCAATGCTTAAGTAAATGCTGGGGACCCACAGTGTTTTAATTCTATGGACAGGACCCCAAAGAATTGTGCCCACAGCAGAAAGAAGGGCCTTGCCACAGAGTCTATGAGAAAAACCCCTTCAGAATCTGCAATACAGTTATTGCTGGCTCACACTCTCCAACTCCTAAGAAAATATTGACAGGTATTGAGTCACTCTATTGAAGTTCACTTAGTCTAAAAGTACAGGCCCCAAGATATACTTAACACACCCAGTTCACAAAGGTTAAACTCTGAGTGGGAAACATTGCTTAACGTGATACCAAGTAAAGTAGTAGTTTCTGACACTGAAAGAAGGAAGTGAAAAAGATCTTCCACAGTTCTGGATGATTACCACCCATGCCACATATGACAATGTTGGCCTTTAGTGAGCAAAGCACACTGGATACATCTAACATCTTTACTCTTGCCTTCTCAACCATACTTCATTCAAAGTATAATAACATAATTATAAAGCCACCTGGAAACTGCCAATTTTCTTTTTTCTGAAAAGTGCTAAGTAGTTCCCACACTTCATGTAATCTCTCAGTATCTTGGTGAAGCAACGCTGTTCTGATTTACAGATGAGACCCGATAGACTTGTCTGTGGTCACACAGGTAATGCAGAAAACAACATAGATATGAATCTTGGAAGCTATGTTATTATTAGCCTCAAACTGAGGAAGAGTGGCAGAAGACCCCCCCAGCTCACATGGGGTCATGAAGAAAATGAGTCAAGCTATGGGGGCAGTGGAACTTCTGTCCCTCAGGACCTTTGAGATGGTATGAGTTCCTGGGAGAAGGATGAGAAGTCTGACCCAGATAAAACTGCACAATGAGTCAAGTTTGTTTCTGATGCTGCTGACTCATCTTCTGTCCCCTTCTGTGGCACTTGTACCCCCATCCTTCAGCTGGTCAGTGCTGTGGTGCCCCCCACCCCCCTATCAAACCTGGCTCTTAGGAGCTACTCTCAGCTCCTTGGTGGTGAGTCTAAGTGACTGTGTTCCTTTCTCCCAGGGTTTCTAATATTTAAGGTCTCATCCTTCTCTATTTTAGGAAGGCCTTCATCTTATTAGGGAGACTGCAGGTAGCTAGTGAGGTAGGGTGTTCTGCACACTCCTCCACTGACCTCCTGAAATATCTGTGTATATGTAAGAGTCCATGTTCCCATTTATTGAGCACCCACAGGGGAGTTTTTGTATTCATTAGCTAATTCTCAATAGGTAACAACCTATTATTGTTCCCATTTTACAGCTAGAAAAACAAAGGTCCAAGAAGTTAAGTCATAACTAGTACAAGGTCACAGTATCAATTGGTGGCTACTGTTAAAGTGTTCTAACCTCTAGCCAACACGGCTGCTACAGACATAACAGAACATTACAACTAGTGCCAGAGGGGAAACAGCCTACCAGCCATGGGAAACAAAGTAATCTCCTCTCCAACAGGGAAATGGATAGATAATGGGTACCTTCATAAAGCCAGTATTCCATTATCCATATGACATAACTTTACTTATATTTGATTCTGAAATGCCTATTGGTCCTATATCATACACCCTCCTCTTCACCTGTAAACTAAGTTGGAAACATCCCTGTTCCCCAGTTGCCTTGGCCCCTGACTCAGTGGCCGTGCCATCAGTAAATTCATCAACTTCACTGCAATTGGAGACTCTAGGGTTAAAAATCTGGTTCCCAGGCTTGAGTTTTTTTCCACTGCACTAGGCTGTAGCAATTTGACTATCATTCATCTCTTCCCAGAAATGACTTACTCCTCTCTATTTGTTTTGGAGTAATCTTTCGTTCTACTTTATTTAATGGGAAATCCTTAGAACAAACAAAAAAATAGCTATTGCTGCTACTGGAAGAAATTATCACTTAACATTTTAATTTTATTTAAGATTCATATTTGTTAGAAATCCTGGGAACTGGGAAAGGGTACTACTCAGGCTTTCTCCTCATCGGGGCCCAGAATTTTTTTTGTATACCACACCTTTCCCAATGCCAGGGAAAATAGTCTGGCATTTGTACTCACAGCCCACCATTTTGCGCATTCAGCACAGCAAGCCATAAATCCCACCTGCAGCAGTCTTCCCCACAAGCTCTGTCTTACCTTGGACTTGTTGGTGCTGCATCTTCTTCTGGCTCTTCTTTAACACCAGCTAGCTCTGGGGGAAGGAAAGCATCTTTGTTGACATTATTCACCCAGCTTTCCTTTGCCCCTTTTGCTTTGTCCTTACTCTGCTCAGCTGAAACAGGAAACAATAAAGACAGGAAGGTTATCTCTCACCTCTGTGACCTACAACTCTCTTATCAGCTCTTATCACTGAAAGCCCAAACCTGAGCCTCAGGTCTGCCCTGAGTGCCAAGGCAATTACTGATGACTTTGAGCACTTGGGATCAGGATTACATCTGCAAGAGAAGTCAGTAGATTCCTATGGTGATACTGTTGTTGCTAGTTGCCATCAAGTTGATTCTGACTCATGGTGACCCCATGTGTGCAGAGTAGAACTGCTCCACAGGGTTTTCAAGGTAATGATCTTTCAAAAGCAGATTGCCACATCTGTCTTCTGAGATACCTCTGGGTGGGTTCAAACCGCCAACCTTTCAGCTCGTAGGCAAGTGCTTAACCATCTGCACCACCCAGGGTAACCTCCTGCGATGTTAGCTACCCCCACGCAGAGTCTCCCGAGACGATGCGTGTACCTTCAAATGTGCAGGTAACTCCAGAAACCACCAAAGCAAAATTCTGACTGCCTTTAGGTTGTTAATATGACCTGAACTGGGGTCAGGACCAAATGTGTATGGCCAGGGGCCACTCAGTGTAGGGACACCTCATTGAGATCATCATTAACAAGCATTTTCTGAACATCTACAGTGTGCCCAACATAATGCAGGGTTCTAGGGTACAAAGGTGAACAAAACACTTCAGGTCTGAATGTCCCTCTCCACTGCCTCCTCCTCCCCAGAGTCTCTACACATCCAAATCCTATATACTCCTCCATACCCAGCTCAGACGCCAGGGCCCCCATAAAACCTCTGTACTTCAAGAAATAGCCTCTCTTGCCTCTAAATACCCAGGACTCTTTACCTGAACCCCTCAGATAATTAACACCAACTGAGTGATGACTAAGTGCCAGGCATTGTGCTCTGTTCTTTGCATGCATTATCATATGAAGTAGGAGCCATTTTCCAAGTTTACAGATTTGGAAATTGAGGTTCAAGGAGTTTAAGAAACTTGCCTAAGGCCACATAGCCAGTAAGTGCCAGGAATACCTTCATCAGTGTTAAGAAGATGAAAGACTACTAGGGCTCTCAATTTCCAAATACTCACAGTCCAGGGTAGTATCTCTTACAAGTCTCTTTATGCAAAAGTCTTAAATTTCTTCAACGGCAAAATGGAGTCAACTGCCCTAATCTGGACTTCTCAAGATTTCTGAAGGTCTGGATGATTTTGAAAAGCAAAGAGGGGTGCAAGCAATGCCGTGCTACATAATAAGTAATCAGCTCTTATCTGCAAGGGAGTGTGGCTGAGTCAGGGAAGCTGAAATTCCAGCTCTGCCATTTGCCAACTATATGACCTTAGGCAAGTTACTTACCTTCTCTGAGCTTTATATATATCCCATATATAAAATAAGGATAATAATACCTACTGTAAAAGATTGCTGTGACTCAACAGGGAGTCTCTGATGGAGCGGGGGAAGGTTGGGATGTAGAACTCAAATTCTAGTAAAAAGACCAGACTTAATGGTCTGACTGAGACTGGAGGAACCCCAGAAATCATGGCCCCCAGACCCTCTGTCAACCTAGAACTAAAACAATTTCCAAAGCCAACTCTTTAGACAAAGATTGGACTAGACTGTGGGATATAAAATGATATTCATGAAGAGTGTGCTTCTTAGCTCAAGTAGATACATGAGACTAAATGGACAGCTTCTGTCTAGAGGTGAGATGAGAAGGCAGAGAGGGTCAGGAGCTGGTTGAATGGACACGGGAAATCAGGGGTGGAAAGGAGTAGTGTGCTGTCACAGTATAGGGAGAGCAATTAGGTCACATAACAATGTATGTATAAACTTTTGTATGAAAGACTAACTTGAATTGTAAACTTTCACTTAAACTACAACAATAAAAAATAAATAAAAGAAAAAAAAGATTGCTGTGACTATGAGAAATAATACAGTGAGAGCCTAGCATATATCAGATACTCAAAAGATAATAATAATTATTTTCCTTATTGACCACAGGCTAGAAGATAGAGGCTGTTCACCGGGTAAAGGGTTACACTGACTAGTCCAGAGTTAGACAGAAGGTACCTAGTAAATATTAATGAACTCAAAATAATTCTCAACAAGCCCTCAGAATACTGTCTTTATAGTCACTTAAATTATGTACTCATTTGACTAAAGAAGTACCAGATGTCAAGGTCACTGAATGGGGAGGCTGATCTCTTTCTGTCTAAGCCCTTCATCCTATTCAAAAAAAAAGATTCTGAATCTTCAGAGTTAAAAGCCAAAGAAATAAGAGGTGGTAGGTCCCTTATAAGTCCCAATTATCTATGCTATTGCATCTCAACATGGTTCCCAACATGGTTCCTACATCTCTCTAAACCACACTGCCATTATCCATCCAAATCCAAGGCAAAAGGATTTTGAGCTAGAGGGCCATGCATTACACAAGGTGTACCTCCATATTATTTCCCTCAGCAAATTTCAGTAATGTTTCTGACACCCTTCCTTTCTCTTGATTCCTCCTTCCCAAACAAATGCTGGTTCCAAGAGTACTAGTCAAATCAACTCACCTGCTACCTGGAGTCTCTTCTTTCTCATGGATGCTCTGACGATATCTGCACCATGGATTTTGTCTCTGTGCCTCTTTGCCTTGGCTTCATAAAACCACTGGCCACTCATATTCTTCAGCTGCTGATCATCCTTAACTTTTTCAGGCAAATGTCTACAAAAGGGAAAGAGCATTACTTCACTGAGAACCCGCAGTAAATAAATGAGCTCACTATGACACTGCATAAAGAAATTTGTAAACATAAAGCTAAAATGAAGCTCTCATTATTTTAGATCCCACAAACCTCCCAGACAACAAATAAATGTATGTTCTCTTTTGCCTGAAAAGTCAGTGAAGCCAAGGCCAATGTATTTTTTTCATTCAAAGATGTAATTCATGATTCCCAGATGATGTCTGAAATTTCTCAAGATTCACTTTTTAGCTGTAGTCTTCTGTGTCCACTGTTTAAATGCAAATACCCCAGAGACGGATGACATATAAAGCTTCCCTAAGCCTTGGTTTCTTTATCTATAAAAAGGGGTTAATCACAGTAACTTGTTTTTGGGGTTGCTATGACAATTACACTAGTTAATGCATGAAACCAGCCATCTACACCGTGCCTGGCACCTAATAAACACTCAGCGAATAACTGGTGGGTAGTTATCAGCTCATCAGTCCCTTCATTCCATTTAGGTGATATAAGATTATCAGAGACTTTTCTGGAAGCCAGTGGGGGGAGGAGGTGGGAGTGGGAGTGGTAAGGAAAGGACATGATATCCTTGTTGTTTGGGGAACAGCATGCAGAAAAGACAGGCAGGAATCAGGGAAAACCAAATTTGAGGAGGGGAATGGAGGCAGAGGCAAGTTCCATTTGTGCAGATACTGCTTTTAAGGGTTCCACAACCATTCCTGCTCACTGAAAAGCTAAAACCAAAAAATAAGCCAAATATTGCCCTCCTATTCACAGGAATATCTTTGGAAACCCTGGTGGCATAGTGGTTAAGAGCTATAGCTGCTAACCAATAGGGCGGCAGTTCAAATCCACCAGGCACTCCTTGGAAACCTTCTAGGGCAATTCTAGTTCTACTCTGTCCTATAGGGTCACTATGAGTCGGAATCGACTAGATGGCAACAGGTTTGGTTTGGGTTTTTTAACACCTCTCTCGCAGCCCTGGTGGCGCAATGGTTAACAGCTCACCTGCAAATCAAAAGGTCAGCAGAATCCACCAGCTGCTCCTTGGAAACCCTATGGAGGGGCAGTTCGACTCTTATCCTATAGGATCACTATGAGTCAATTCTGACTCGACAGCAACGCATTTGGTTCTTTGTTTTTAATACCTCCCTAATTTGTACTGGCTGGAAAAACACTGTTCTAACTGACAAGTCTTTTAACCTCTGCATCTCTATATCTGCCTCAATAAAATGAGAATAGTAATATCTTTCTTTACTCAGAGATATACTTAGAATAAAGTGACATACAAGCCTTAGGGAGACTTTGAAGTCTTGGAAGATAATGTGCTACATAAATCCAAGAGGGTTTTAGGATTGTCATCAAAGCTAATATGCATGCTTCCTAAATAGCAAGCCTAAGTGCTTTAGCCAGAGAATATGAATGGGCCAAGGTGGTAGCAGGGCTGTGTATGAGGGCTACACACAGGCATACCTGGGAGTGGGGAAAACAGGAGCTGCAGTTTCCCTGGGTTTAGCAATGATGTCTTCTCTTTCACAAGTGTGCCTGGAAAGTGCCTTTCCACCCAGAGTCCAACTCTCTGCTTGAACTTCCTCCTCTCTCCCAAACATGTCTAATCACTACCCTTGACCACACAGTTGTGACCAGAGCCCATCACCAAATCCTGACAGGGACAGCATTATCACTTCATGGTTCTGAGTCACCAGTGAGCTCACGTTTCTTCTTAAATGTTTCTAATGGTTTCCCATTGCCTAAAGCTTTCAGTACAGTAAATAATCTCTTCTGGGATGGTGGGGTGAGGGTTTTGCCTTATCCCAAAAAGCCTGAGTTTGAGTTCACTTCCAGAAGAGAGGTTTCTTCCACCTCCCTCTGGTTAGACCATGAGCCCCTGGGGGCAGAGTCTGTACTCAATACATCTTTGCAGCTCTGTTGTTAACTGCTGTAGAGTTGGCTCTGACACATGGCAACCCATGTACAACAGAATGAAACACGGCTTGGTCCTGTGCCATCTTCCTAGTCACTGGTATGCTCAAGTCCATTTGTGATGTTGTGTATTCTGAGTGCCTTTCAGTCAAGGGGGCTCATCTTCCAGCACTGCACTGGACAACATTCTGTTGTGATCCATGGGATTTTCACTGGCTAATTTTCAGAAGTAGATTGCCAGGCCTTTCTTCTTAGTCTGTCTTAGTCTGGAAGCTCCACTGAAACCTGTCCACCATGGGTGACCCTCCTGGTATTTGAAATACTGGTGGCACAGCTTCCAGCATCATAGAAACATGCAAGCCACCAAAGTATGACAAACTGACAGGTGGTGGCTGCATCTCTGGTGTCTGGAAAATAGTATTTATTTATTCAGTGATTGCAGAGTGAACGGAGTATCATATGAGACCCCTGACCACCTGGCTTCAGGCAACCTTTTCAGATTCATTTTCCAGCATTTAGTCCCTCCCTGCCACTTGCAAACACACTTGACTTTTTACTTTTCCAAACTGCTCTTTCATGTCTCCACAACTCTGTAGATGCTAGAAGCACAAAGGTGTGGTGGCAAGACTATGGGCTTTGGAATCTCCCAAAACTGGGTTCAAATTCCAGTTCTGACCTTTCCTAGATGTGTGACTTTTGGCAGGAGACTGAACTCCCCTAAGCTTCAGTCTCCCTATTTGCAAAGGTGAGGAAAATAAGACCTACTCTGCAGGACTTCTGTGATGATTAAATGAGGTGTTTACCTGAAAGTACCTAACAGTGCTTGGGGATCTCGCTAAGAGGCCAATAAATGTGAATCTTTTGGGATGTCCTTCCCACACTTCTCTGTCCAGCACATTGCTCCTAATTCTTCAAAATTCAGCTCAAGCATCACCTTGTTAGTGAAGCCTTCTCTAACTCCCAAGGGCAGAGTTCAGCTTGCTCTTCTTCAGGCTTCCATAACACTTCTACAGCACTTACCAAACTGTATTCCAATGATCTATTTACACATCTGTTCTTCCCACTAATGTGTGAACAATGCAAACTCCTTAAGGGTGACTACACCTTAATCACCTTTGTAACTCTAGCACCTAGCAAAGAGCCTGGCACAGAGCAGATATCCAATAACTCTTTGTTGAGTGAATACGTCAACGAATAAATAAATGCTCAGCAGCCACTCCAATCTGAGTCAGACAAGAGATAAAAAAGATCCTGTCCCTGCTGGGGTTAAGTGAACAATACCCCACCACGATAGTTGTACTTTTTTCCTGATGAGACAGGACACGTTCATCTCTCAGCCCAATAGGAAAAAAACATCATGAAATATGCATCTGTCATCATCTTGTTGGAAAAAACCACAAACCCTCACAGCATAAATATTTCCAATTTCTCTTCATGAGGTCATTCATTTATGTATGTAATCAACTGAAAGGTACTTTGTAGGAGTCCTTGTGCAACTCTTGATGTGCTCTCACCTAAGTGACTGCCTGCAAGCCCCTGATCGTGCTAAATTTTCAACGCACAATGAGCACAAAGCACGTGCTATGTGAGTCAGACACTGAAACACATGGCTCCTGAACAGGCTGGTAGCCATTATAGTAAAAAACTGAGGTTGGGTTTCTGGCTCATTTGTTTTAAAGTGGCAAAAGAAGGAGAAATACTTTCAAATTTAATAAGTACCACTTATGCACTTCCTAACATGATTATCACTGCTAGGTTTAATCATCAATTTATTTTCCTTTTCTTATCTTAGTCCTTTGGAATATTTTATAAAAGAATCCATATGGGTGACATTAAAATCCAAGTTTAGTAAAGATGTAGACCCTTAAAAGAAAAACCTCACCATCTGGCTGGTGTGGTTACAATCTTCTCTGTCTACCAGCCCATGTTGATCTCTTGTTTTTCCTGAACTCTAATCACACCAGCCAAATAAGCATTTGATTTTCTAATGTTGTACCATCTAGTTGAAGTGGGAAAGGGTAAATTTCTTGGGACTCACATTTTTTATTCCTTATCATTCTCCCTACATATGTACACTGTGATCAGCAGAGGGCTGAGCATAGAGAAAATGCTCAATCAACACCCACGGGATGGTGGGCAGAAGCGAAGGTAGAAGAAGAGCTGTCCTGCTGGCCATCCAGGCAGAAGGATGCCGGTCACTGTCCCATTCCTTCAGCTAATACTTACAAAGCATCTGTTTTGTAACGAGCCACATGTTTGGTAGGTAACATGCATCATCTCATTTAATCCTTACAATCTTACCATGATGTATGAAGAATTTAGTTAACTGCAAAACTCTTGCCCCCTCTAGATTTTAAAGGCCATATCTAAACCTTATCTGGTTATCTGCGCATTCATTAATTCACTAATTTCCTATTACGTACTAGGTATATGCTAAGAATTATGCATTAAAAATTCAACCTACAGCCATAACTGCCAATATCAACTCCTGTGGTACGGACAGAGTGTCAGCACTTACAGAGGAAAAGCAACATGGCCCTCCATCCTGGCTTCAGCACCTTCCCTGGGACCTGTCCCCTTTTTCTTCTTGTGCTGATATATGCACACTCCAGCTTCCAGCTATTCAAGGTAATTAGGCAAAGGTGTAACATCATAGGCAGGAACTGGTTGCTATTATCTATTCAGTTTTGGATAACAAGAATCAACAGTCTGGCCAAAGAGGTTGATTGGTCCATTCTCTCCATCCTCACTTTACAGATAAAACAATGGAGGCCCAGAGAAGTTAAGTAATTTGACAAAGGTCACACAGAGCTGGGACTGGAAGTCAGCCTGACTCCTGGCCAATGCTCTTTCCATTACCCCATTTTGTCCCAGAAAGTCAAATGTGATTTTGGTTTCTAAGATGGCTACACTTCACTCTTTCTACCAAGGGATTCGACCTTTGGTGGAGAATCTGAAAACCAACACAGAAAAAATTAAATAAGCCACAGATGTTCCTTATAGAGGAAACATGCATCTCTTATATCATGGACACATCATAGATCCCAACAATCTGCTAAGA